CACTATTCACTGTTCAGTACACACTACAACAAACAGTCTTCATTCATCACTGTCAGTTGTCCATTTAGAAGATACAAGTTCACCATTCGGCACTCACAGGTCAGATCTAATGCATATTATTATATTATTTTTCTATGATCTAATTATTAGGATTTTGGTTCCTGATTAGTCTCGCACCAGGTATTAGACTACCAATTAGTAGTTATTATTGAGGTAGTGAGGTCTAAGGTAAGGTAGAACTGATTCGGTACTCAAATTGTAGATGTAAGGGTGCTTAATTCTCGATTCTTCTCTATTATTACTTTATGTTTGACGTATAATTTTTCAAACACCATTTAAAAACTGAAAATACATAATATTAAATCTTAATATTGTAGCCCGTGATGGGTAAATCACATAATTTGTTATATATTATATACTTTCACATCTATAATGCAATATTATTATTTTTATTTTCAGTTTTGGCTAACTAAGTATCAACAATGAAAAATAAGATTTCAAATTTTTCAACAGGATTTCCAGACTCTGTAGTCGGTAAACGAAAAAATAAAAAGAGAAAAGATATAAGTCCGGATCAAAAAGAAGGTAAGGTATTATGCCTTGAGTAAAATCATAGATAAATACTAAGTACTAAGTACTACAATAAGGGCCAGTTGTACTGTCTCTGATTAAAGTTAACCGGAGTTTAATCGGCCGAATTTGCACGGTTAAATATCTGTTATCAGCTGATTAAGCGTAATCGAAGTTTAACCGTAGGCGGTACAACTGGCCCTARTTAAAAATGATTTAGTGATTTAAAAAGTCCAGTTAGGTGTATTCTATGTTTAAAACATAAAATTTTTCCAATAGCATTATGTGTGAATTTGTATATTAATTTATAATTTCTTTAAGAGAACATTACCTATGCATTTGTTGTCTTTGTCTTCACACACACGACATGGCAATTTTTTTGTTCTATGGTTTCAATAGTGTGCTGTTTTGCTGTTGGATTGAATCACACTAACTGTTAGGTAAGAACATTATCTTTGCGTAAGCTTGGCTTTTATTCAATATATTTTCTTTCTAGAAAATTGAAATATCAAATCTATTGCCAACACGCCCAAAAGTATAAGCATAGTTGATGTTCTTACCTAAAAGTTTGATTATGGTCAATGCTCTCTAGTGTCATGACTAACAGCATTCTATTGAAATTATTGAACAAAAATTTGCAATGTTCTACGTTTGTTAGACAAAGACAAAAACACACTGATATCCTATTGTCAATAGAAAATGTTAAATTGAAAAATGTACAGCAGCAAATTTCACTAAACCAATTTAGTATTTGTGTTTTATTCAAAAGTATAATAAACATAAAAGAATCAGACTACGACGTTTATGCCCGCCATTCAATAATATCATAGTATGTATTTTACAAATATATAAGGTGTTTAAAGCTTTAAAAATAGGTATGTTAAGCTTTAAGGAAGAATATTATTTGTATGTTTTTACCTTTTGGTTTTAGTGATCAATTAAATCTGCAATATTTGAAAGTTAACTAGATAAAATTGGTTCTGTTGAATATAAATTTCTTACTTGTGTATTGTATGCTTGTAAAATTGAAACAACATGCACGGTAATGTCACGGTGCGTCTAAATTAATGTGTTCTATTTAACTTTGTTGCTTAGATAATTTATCATCAAAGAGAAAAAAGTATCTAGCCTCTAATGCCAAACCGAAAACAGTTTCTGAGATAGATAACAAAATTATGAAGAAAAAGGGAAATCAAATACCTATTCCTACTACCTATTCGTCTTGTATTAAAGGTAAATTAAACATATTTTCTATGTAGACATCTTAGTAAAATCACAGAATAAATTATTTTATTTATTTATTTAATTAGTAGGTAACAGTTTATGTTCATAAGCTAAATATTTGTCATTTACTCCTTTTG